ATTTGGGACTTGATATTTTTAATCTTTGAAAACAGCTGGGATGTATATCAAACAACATTATTGAAACTCATGGTATCTATTACTTATTAAATATATTATTATTATTTAATATTACAAAATTCTAGAAAAATATAGTTATTTCAATTATATTGGATTAACATTATATTGAAGCATTTGATTTGTAACTACAGTAATTAATTATTTATAAATGTTATTATGAATCAGAAAAAAAAATTGATGAAATTGCTTATCAATGGGAAAAATAAATAAAAAGTACGAAAAAAAATCAACATTGCATAAATAACTAAAAGATTATAGAAGCATTAGCGTTTATTATAGAAAGTCTTTCTGGCGGCTTTTCTTGTGAACATTTTTAATTTTTTTTTTTAATATTTATTTTCGATATTTTTACAACGTCTCTATAAACGTCGTTATCACCAGTAGAATTTGCTGATTATATTGCAAAACAAGCTATAAACCAATATCCCTGAACTTACTCCACTAACTCTGTAAATACTGAAAGATGTTGACAAAACGTTCTGTGTTTTAGTGAGCCTAGGTTCGAACACATGGGATTCTACAATCTACTCACTACAGTAATAATGTCTTTCTAATACCAATAATGGTATAATAGATGGTTGAATTAAATGTTTATTTCATATCTAGGAAAGTTATGTTTATGCTTTTAGTGTCAATGGACCGGTCTTTATTATATTTCTTGTAAGAGATATAAGGAATATTTTTTTCACTAATATTTTCTTGTACTGTGTATCTATAGATAAATAAATCTTAAATTTATTACAATATATTGTAATAAATTTAAGATTTATTATTATTATAAATAAATTTCTAGACTGGTGGATTGTACAAGAAATAAAAACCCATTGGAATTTTCCACTAATTAATCATCGTAAGTTATTAGATACCACTTCAGATGCAATGGAGATGAGTGGAAGGTATTTATAATAATATATAAGTGCCAATTAACAAATAGGGTAAATAAATTATACTAATATCAGCATAGATTCAAATAAAAATACCAGATAAATAAAAAAAGCATTTGAAATCATTCGATTTTAAAATTTACTCAAATTCTAACAAAATTGATAATTAAATACTTTGATAAAAAGCAAATTTGATTTTTTTAAAACTGTGAAATACTAGCCTGAATGCTGTTCTTGTCGGCGATCCAGAGACGACTTGATCGTGCTATGCCAGAGAAAGATACTGACTTTATATATATTTCGTTAGCCATTATATTACGCTAGGAAAGGCCCTTATAAGGGACGAAGGTTGCGTCTGACGTTTAACGGGCAATAACAGTTTCTTTTTCGATGCGACTATTTTAGACAGTACCGAATTAGGACGCACACGTACATACAAGAGTTTAGTAGCATTTACACGTTATCACATCATGAAACTTATGTATCATGACATAAGTTCATGTTTCCAGAATGTTGTTTCCGAGCCTCATGTCCGTGAATAACTGTTATGCAAAATTATTACTTACATGATATCTATTTCATTTTTGGTTCCAAACCAAAGCGAGAAGAAACACATCTTATAAAATTATTTTTATTTTCTGATGACACGGTATTTAAAATTATTATTACTTACTTTTTATTTCAACTTATCAACCATTATCCAGTTTCCTGACCGGCATTCATTTTAAATGTCAGAAGTAGCTCATATAGTTATCACCTACTTGAGTGAAACATATACATATATATACAGGGTGTTCCGTAAGTAGTAATAAATATTTAAATGGGTGATAGTAGACATCAAGAGCTACAAAAACTTCATATAAATAATTGCCCAATTTCCAGCAGAAAAGTAGGAAATTCAAGTTTTGTGTTTTTAAGTCAGTCACGTTTTATGTTGGGTAAGAAGCCATAACTTGGAAAATACTGGATTTAAGTAATGAAACATTACTCCATAGTACACTAGACAAAATTTACAATTGACAAGATTTTTTTTATCAACTTTCAATTGTACTGCAGTTACCTCACTTTTAGAAAAACTCGTTCCTTGTTTAGTAAGATTTAGATCTATATTAATTAAGTTGAGGTTTATCAGGAAAAATCTTGAGATTCATGTCAAGTTGTGTAAAGAATTTATCTGATTTTCTGTCCAGTAACCAAAAAGTACCCGTGTTTTCAGCAAAAATGGCTACAATTAACTGTTGTAAAGCTTTTATGTATTGCTTTTCCGTGTCATTGCATGTGTTGTACTGAACATAATTGAATCTCCTACTTTTCTGAGGGAAATTGGACAGTTATTTATATTAGATTTTCTGTAGATCTTAATGTCGACTATCACCCTTTTAAATATTTCTCTCTCCTTACGGAACACCCTGTATATAAACACATACACACTTACTCATAGAAATTTGCCAATACTTATTAATTAATGATAATGAAGTTTGATAATTATTTTCTGAAAAGTTGTTGATAAACGGGGACATCAATATGAAGATAACATTTTAAATCAAAATATAGTTGTTAGTTTAGTAAGATTTTAATGTATTTAAAAATTATGAAAGGGGGGAGCAGGCTAGACCTGATTTTCATCCTAAAACAAGTACTCGAAAAAAGATGAGAAGTAGCTCAGAGCGTCCATTCCTTATTTGTCGATTTCAAAACAGCCTGTGACTGAACTGGGAGTTCCCGGTAAGTTAGTGAGATTGCCAAATGCGTGTACAAATGACCCCAAATGTAGATTCCTAATTCAAGAAAAAGTATCTGAAACCACCAAAGCGTGAACGGGCTTACGACATGGAGATGGACCACCGATGTTCTTCAACTTAGCCCTGGAGAAGGTAATAAAAACATCACACGAAAATGGAGGGGTCCCGGTCGGAATGAATCATAAAATTCTTGGATACGCAGATGATACAGCTGTCCTTAGAAGTAATCAAGAGGATATTGAGAAACTCACTAAGACTCTTATCAAAGGAGCAGAGCAGATTGCCCTACAAATAAATGAATACAAAACAAAATTTACGATAATAAGTCGGAAATTCCACCCCAATAACAGGATCTGTGTAGAAGGAAAATCATTCCCGAAAGTAGAAAAATTCAAATACTTCGGCTCCACAATAACTTCAATGAATGACCAACGGGTAAAAATAGACCAGCGTATAACTAGCTCTCTTCTTCCTTTCAAAGGTAGTAAAATCCAGAAAAATCTCTAGAAATCTCAAACGAACTGAGTACAACGATATGATAAAGCCAGTGCTAATATATGGCTGTGAGACCTTAACAGCACCCTAGAAAAAAGTCTTGAAAGAAAAGTTCTCAGCACAATAACCGAAGCGGTCTGGGATCAGAGACCTATACATGCAGAAGAAAGACCAATAAAGAACTGCGTACAAAAACTGGTCAATCAACTATGATATGAAGGCACAGAGGTTAAGATGGGTGGGGTATGTAGCTCGTAGCAATCCATATGAAAGCCTATACATAACGATGAACGCCTCAAACAACCACGTGGAAGGGCAAAAAGCAGATGGATAGATAAAGTCAACTAAGATGCAATAGAGCTGCGTGCAGATAAATGGATAAATAGCCCAAGAAAGGCAGAGATGGAGCGAGCTTGTTGAGGCGGCAAAAGACCCATATGGTCTGTGCCAACAGATAAAAAAGAAATATATTTTCACTGATCTTCAGATTCTATTATTGCAATTAGTACTTAACATGTACTAAATATAGAGGGTGTCTCAGTTTTTAATAGGCAACCTTTGAGGAATGATTCTATACCAAATTTCCAACACAAAAGTTCATTTAATGCACATGCCGATTCCTTACGGAAAAGGAGTTAAGACCAATTTTATATTTTCCTTGCCGCTGATTTAGCCCGAGCCAGATACATATCCTTTCATCATTAACTCCAGTCTCATCCGAATCCACTTTTTTCCAGCCTTGCTTCTTCCTAGATTCCTGATAATCCCCCTAGGAGTCTGAAAAGAAGATGGTCTCTTGATCTCCTTACCTAGAATTAAATAGGGAGTGCTACAACTGGGCAGTATCTTTTCAAGTCTGGTCATGTTATTATTTCTAATGTGTGCATTTTTACTAGTTGTATTGTTTATACAGTTGTAAATTTCATTAAATAAATAACAAATATTTTTCTTAAGGTGGTCACGTTTTTATTTAATAAGAAGGAATTGCTCAAAAACTGTTGAAGATAATTAAATTCTAAGTACACTATCGTAAAGTAGAAAAAAATGTTCTTTGCGAAAGCAGTAATTAAATTTACTAAGGTCAATGATAAAAGGCAGTTTCAGGAGATCTAATAACACAAAGCCTGCCACTAAGCCGAATAATTTTACGAATTGGGATTACAGAGTATACTGTAATGTTATTGCAGCAGTTCAGTGGCCGTATTACACCCTCTGAAAGTCCCTTTTATCATTGACCTTAATAAATTTAATCCCTATTTTTGGGAAAATAATTTTGTCTATGGTTTATTTGGAATTTAATTATCTGGAACAATTTTTGAGCAGTTACTTCTTACACGATAAAAACCGTGACCCCCTTAAAAAAAAAAACATACAAAATTAGACTTAACTCGTTCGGAATCCCATGTATCAAATGAATTTTTTTGTAGGAAATTTTGTCTAGAATCACCCCCTAGTGTTTGGCCATTAAGAACTGAGCCACCCTTTATTTTCAAATTCTCAAAACTCTATTTGCCGTTTTTAACTTATGTCAGGTTTAACAATATTATTGAAACACTAAGATTTCGGGAAAAAGTTTAAAAGGTCATCCTACAAACAAACAATAAATGGCGCTAACCGTGGATGTCAAGGCATGTAATAGGACGTTTAAGAGTTGACATGTTAGGTGAGGTTAGGTGTTATGTTTTATCTCAACATTTTAAAGCCATAAATAAAGTCATTATCTGAAAGTCCTGTAATCTTATTGATATGTTTGTTTTATCGCGATTAGTTTACTGTGCACAAAACATTACGGTGACGCCAATGCTTCTCAGCATTTTCAATGAACTCCATCATTCATCCGGATCTTCGGAATTTCTCCGGCATTTTGAAAATAATTCAAATAATCATTCAAGTTAATTTATATGTAATATTTAACTTATCATCAACGACCGTGTGGCTGTAATTGTATTATTTTTAATCATTTGACAGTAGTTACCGTCCAAAAATGTACTTAAGTAGTGAAAATTTAATTTTTTAATTTTACTTTTTTTAATAGCGCTGTGTCGAAGGTTGTCAGAGGAGGATGGAACGGGTAGTAGTGGAACCTGCCATTGCCGATCCACACTGTCACAACCGTCCTTGGGTTGGAGTTGGTTGTAACATTTTCTTTTTTTTTTTTTTTTTTTTCCTTTTTTTCTAATTTTCTCCTTTCTAATTTTCTAATTTTTGTGCTTACGGATTTATAAAATTTTATTATTTATACGTAGTCAAGTGTACACTTTACTAAAAAAAAAGACCTTTCTCCTATCTAATTGGTATAGTAACAAAATTGAGGACGATTAAATAAAAATTGTCATAACCGCATCCAGTCTCCTCTACTTAGATTGTAGTTAAAGAGTTGAAATTTTGTGAAAAAATTTAATTGGTAAGTGACGTTTAGAGGTCTAAACTATTTTCACCCAACACCAAAATTCTCTAGTGTTTTTTTCATGTTTTCAATATGTTGTGCAACTTTAGAGCCACTCAAAATAAAGATAAATTGCAAATTTGTATGTGAATTGGGTTAGGAACATAATAAAGACAAATTATACTATGATAAAATAAGGATGGAGTTCTACCCGATTTTCTAATCCAATCATTTATAAAACAATCCAAACAATCACAAGTTTTACAAACAAAAATAATAAGAAAATGCGACTTTTTCCCTATCTCCTGTGGTTTCAAATAGATCTACAGCGATTATTCTGGAACTCACATAATACAATGATCCAATACGAGATTAACTACAGATAAAACAATACTTATTCATTATCTTCTATAATAAAAAAGATTATTCATAATTTGTTTCACACTTTCTTTATGATATGTTATTCTAGTTTCATGTCTTAATCTACTATTTTTATCAGTGAATATCACTGTTGTGTATCCTTCAATATTTATTATAACTGAGTTGTTATCAAACTGTGTCTCCTTCCATCAGAAGTTTATACATTAATGAGTGTGGGGGCATTGAAAACATATAGAACATATCTATGTTGTTTATTTATATAATTCTCTATAAAACGATACAAATAAAATGATCAAAATTGGAATATTTTTGGCAGAATCATGTCTTTTTGATCATCGTGTTGACCTTTGCAGGTATAGGTGTTGTCCTTTGTTTTGTCTTTTTATAACTAAAAAAACATATCGAAATACTCCAAATGGTTAGTTGATGAATAATTGATTGGTCTATATAGTTATTAAAAAAGTCTTTCAATCGGATCAAAATTAGCAAACAATGCTTATATAACACATTACCCTGAAGTGGCCAGAAGTAATTTTATATCGTAATTTCACACTTACTGTAAAGTTTTGGTAGTTAATTTGCTTGCTTGCGTATGGAGTTGTGACGATTCCATTTGGATAACATGGCATTAGGGTATTATATGGTATATAATATATACAGAGGGACTCCTAGTAGAGGTGCCCAGAAGGGTGTTTCAAGGGTGTGATAGCGCAAGTTGCGCCATCAAAATTTTTGAGGGGCCACATTTTGAAGGATTCAACGAAAAGATTCAAACCATAAGACAAGAAAGCGTGGAATAGACTGCTGGAGCTGTAATTGTACGATTTTTTTTAATTACACTTTCGGTTACATCGTTTTTTGAGATGAGGTGAGCAATAAAATATCTTAGGGAGATGGGCAACCCTGTTTCCAAGGTCTTGGATAACATGTTAAAATTTTAAAAACTACTTTAAAAATACAATCTTTAATAAATCACTTAAACATGAGGTTGCTAAAACATTTATTGCTTGAATTGTTTCGCTTCAACAGCTCATTCCACAACTGAAGTGTCATTTACATTTTTTTTTTTTCAACTCAAGCCATGGCACAACTTAAGAGGTGTCTCAATGCGGCCTGTGGGCCAATAAGTTTGGAGACCCTGCTATAAACGAATGTAGCAAAAAATAAAAGCATTAACTATGAAGAACATTATCCTATTTACTAACTATAGAGCAAGACTATAAAACAAATTGTACAATTCTTTAAATACAATTTGTTAAGAAATATTTTTTTTTCAAAATTGTCAACTTTGAATTGTGTGAGTATATATTTTTCTTAAACGACTCGATGAGTATTCATCAGGTCTCGCACCAACTCCAGGTTTTGGCTAATTCATTATCTATGCTTATTCATGCTGTGTTTTTCATGTTAAATATTTTTTTATTTATTTTAAGTTTTCAAATCTAAGTTGATAATGGCCGAGGGACTTACTACAATAAATACAAATCTAAGTTTAATAGACATGCTGATCCCTGAGGTTCGTTGCCTACAACAGCTACAGTAACAATCAGAATCTTTGTCATTGTTACCCATTATCAAATCTATTAATAAGGTCCAATATAAAAAGCTAATGAATGAACTTTAAATCAATTAATAAAATATCTCGGAGGAGAATAAATGAACCATTTTAAATCAAGATAAACAGTTTCAAAGAACATATACTTAATCTAATATGTTCAGCTGTGAGAGATATGGAATGTTAATACTGAAAAACTTTAGTTTTCAACGATTTTAATTATTTATATAAAATCTATATAAAGTAACTGACTATATATATATATATATATATATATATATATATATATATATATATCTCCCCTTATACATCTTCCCACTCCTCATATTCTCTCCCCTCTGTTTCTAACATAGAATCAAGAACGCAAATGACATTACTTATAAGTAACAAGTCCAACTCCAACAAAACTTGACACTTTTTTTTTTTTTAGTTATAACATTAAAGTAACTGACTATAATACAATCAATATTATTGTCATATTATCATGTGTCGGATTATTTCATGAAAAAATTATGATGAATTAATACTTAAACAAACACTACCTATTAATGTTTCACAAACAGTTTCCTTATGAAGAAAAAACAGACCAAATCTCAAATTCTTCTATATGTGATTATTCACTAAATAGAATTAAGTCTAAGGAAGCTCAAGCCCACCACCAATTATTTTATAATTATATATTTTTTATATTTATGAGGGAAAACAAAAAAAAGTCCATTATGTTTCATACATTTTGATTACCTTCTTCTTTTATAAAGGAATGCTAATAAGTGATCCATTGAATTGCTGTTTAATCATTTTCAATATTGAAATATCGTTAACTTATTTTCTGTAACGTTCTATATCAATGAAATATTTTTCAATGAATTTTATTTTTAAAACAAATATTTGGATCGGCAATTATTTGTCTTCGATGGAGCACAAAATCGTTCTTCTGCAGCTCCGGATTAATTATAACGAAGGAGTTTTAATCACAATTTTCTAATAATGTAAATTTGACTAAAAAATATTGCAACCTAGCAATAAGATAATTCACTCATTCTTGAGCGTTACGGTAAAAATAAATAAATATAAATCAATTTGCGTTTATTTAAATAAAGATAAATTTCATTAAATTACTTGGAAAAGTTAAAAAGTTATCTCTAGGATTCTGACGAGGTACAAAAAAATAAGTGATTCTGTAATAGAGAACTTTATTTCATAATATGAACTAATTAAATTATAAATATATTATACTAATATTATTTTGAAGGTAACTTCAAATAAATAACACAGTCAGGATAAATACAATAAAATCATAAAGCTATTTTAGACTTTGATTGCTCTTGGTTCCATTACGAGTGGAAATCCGTCCGCTCTCTTGAGAATGATGTCTCCCTGGAGCTTCCAGTCCTTCTCCTTCTTGCCTGGAAGTATCCTGTAGTTCCTGAGGATGGTGGCCAGCATGACTTTGAGTTTCAGTACGGCGTATTTCCGGCCTGCGAATTTTCAAATTGTTTTATTTGTGTTTTCTATTTTGACATTATATTTTCTTTATCAAGTAAAGAGTGCTTGGATACTAACCTACGCAACTCCTAGGTCCAGCAGAGAAGGGGATGTAGGAGTAGTAGTGCCTGGAGGCAGACTTCTCTGGAAGGAAGTTATCGGGGTCGAAATAGTTTGGACTAGAATAAATGTCGGGTTTCCTGTGGAGCATGAAGGTGTTCACGACGACTGTGCAATGAGCTGGGATTGTTAGATCGCAGGAAGCTGGAATTATATATTGTATTAATATATTTACAATTTTCAATATTTAGAACATGTTTTTTTATAATCATTATTTTGGTACCCAATTTGAGTTCTTGTTTAAGCTCTCTGGCGATGATAGGAACTGGTGGATACATCCTCAATGTTTCCATGAGGCACCTTTCGATGTATTTCATTTCGAGCGTATCTTGGAATGTGACTGGTCTGTTAGAGTCTCCAAATATTCTTTGTACTTCTTCAACGCATTTTTCCTGGTAAAAATATTAATGTTTAGTATTTCCAAGGTCCAAAGAAACTCCAGATTAATTCACCAATTTTTAACTTGTTGATTCGTATTAATATTTTCGTACTATTTTTGTTATTTTTTAAGATACCTGGATGTCGGGACGAGCTGCCATCATGGCGAGGAAGAAACTGCTACCAGCTGCTGTGGTATCATGACCCTAACAAAAATATAATTATAATATATTTTACGCAATATGTCAGGTATGATCGATCATCGATATATTCTAGATGTTACCTCAAACATGATTGTGTCGATTTGATGTTGAATTTCTTCGTTAGTAATTTTACCGCCTCCTTGAGAAGCATCAATTAAAAGGTCTAGGAAAGCCATTCTTTTCTTTTCTCCTGAACAATATTTCAAACAAATGGGATAGGGCATATTTTAAAGACTGTATTAAAAATATTAAAATAAGTATATCTAAAAAAAAAGTACATTAAATTATTTAAAATAAATTCTAACCTATCTCATCGTCCAAGTCGTCTTTGATGCCTTTAGAATGCCCAAAGGCGTAATCTCCTTCTGCTTGAACTTTCGTATTGTCTTCGGGAGAGGTTGTGATAAGTTTGCTGCCATTTGTCTTGTATTCATCCATTCGAATATTAAAAACCTTTAAATCAAATTATAATTTTCAATTAATATTAAAAACAACACTAGCTTAACTCATATTTGTTCCAACTCGTCCATTTCAATTAACTCACTTTCCTCGTCAGGCCGTGAATGACTTTCAGAAGCTTTTCTTGCACTTTGCTCAAAGAAGTGAAGTTAAAAATTAAGTCGGATCTCAACCAAAGTTTAGTATGGCGGAGGTGAAGAATATTACTCAAACTGTAAACAAAATACATTTCTCAGATCTATTGTATATTCTAGTTAGAGATGAAATTAAAAAAAAATACAATAATAAAGCTCGACTGGCCTAAGAAATGTGCAAAATGTTCTCCTGAACTATTATATATGGAACATAGTAAGCTCAAAACAAATACAAATATTGGGATCATAAACATAATGCGTTATGATACACGAAAATATTATTGAAATATTCCAAATTAAATCTTATGAGACAAAGTCTATCATAGACCATTCCGCCAATTCAGGCATCTTCAGAAGTTGAACTTGGTTAATGTCTGTTACTATTTACTTTCAAGAATTATGGATGTGGGTCTCCAACTTCATTGAATTTTTTTTTTGTGATACTAAGTATAGAGATGTTTACCTGTACCAACAGGGTTCTTCCCCATACGCCTTGGGAGCAGAGACAAAAATTATTTCATATATCCAATAATTTACTGTTTTAATTTCTATGAAATTCTAATTAAACAATTTTAAAAGAAGCTAAAAAAAAACATGCTTGATTTTCATACGAAAAATTTACTTTACAGGAAGACTTTCGATTTCCGAAATTGATTCTAAATTGGACCACATATAATTATATTGTTGATATTGTTTCGTAATTGACAAAACAAAAACTATATAGATCGTTACACAATTGTCCTTAAAATCAGAAAACAGCAAAGGCAAAAAACAATAATAAAAAAAATGTTAGAACACATAAATTATTTTTTGTATTCAGATCCATAGGACTAATACAATTTATAATACATATCTAATCTTTCTCGATCTGGTATCACTTAAAAAAGTATCATCGAAATCAGTGATCCCATCTCTCCTTGTTAGCGATTGTAAATAATAATCGAATTAAATACAATTTTTCGTCGAAATTTACGGTTAGAAGTATCTGAATTGAATAAATATATTATTCAGTATATCCTTATTTTTTTATAATCACTTTGTATTAGGTAGATCACAAACCTATATTATACATACAATTATTTATTTAAATCACCAAGATATTTTGTTTTTAACTCACCCCATAACAGCCATTGCATACTCGTATCCGTTTTGTTGTGTTTTCTTATTCACTCCCATGGCAGTTTCTATCAAATATATAATTCAAATAAAAACATATAATCCGTCTAATCCAAAAGAATTATAAATAAGAAAATGTTTATTATTATTTCAAAATTAAGAAGAACCTACCCAGCAAAATCTCGACAGTGGCTTCACTCATGTAGTCGTGGGCGTCGAATTCGCTTCCCATATCTTGCTTCAACTTCTTTACCACATCTACACTGTTGCTGTTGAAGGTGGGAATGAATGACTTCAGGACGTTCAAGTGAAAAGTGGGAGCGATGAGTTTCCTATGGTTCCTCCATTTTTCGCCTAAAAAAATTGAAATAAACAATAAATCCTCAATTAAGTTGAGATATTTTTGCAATAATACTTTCAAGACTAGTTATCCAAATAGAAGCATTATTTTTTATACTTAGTAAAGATTAAAGGAGGTTGCACCTGTACTTATAAGTAGACCATCTCCTAGCCATGGCTCAAATAATCTGTATTCTGGAGCTTTGTCAATGTGGACGTGGCTGCTTAGGATAAGCTGAAAAATAATTGTGATAGCGTCTATCATAATGTATTCATTATAATTTATCCTACGAATAAACAGTACCAGTAAATGGTATAACTTTCAAATACAGTTATTGTGTTTATCTTATTTTAAAGCTTCAGTATACCTCAATATCTGCAGGATTGGTTAAGAAAACAAGCAGTCTGGGACCAACCCACATTTTGACGACATCTCCGTACTCCAGCGTCCTAGAGAATACGTTCTTGAACAACTCTGTAACAGAAATATCACAATGGTTTTAAGAAATTTTAAAGTTAATTGATAAATTGACAGCTTGTTGATTACGAGGATTGTCCATTTCGCTTTGCTTGCAATTATTTGTTCCTCATGTATTCCTAAGAAAATATTGTAAAATTTAAATTTCGATTCCCAGGTTTCAGGAAATCTTTGTAATTTTCCAACAGGAAACCAAAAACTTTACTGTTTAAAAGTCTAATAGACTTCTCTCTGAAAGCACGCATTAATTTTGTATCAAATGATATGTGATATTACTTAATCAAGAGACAAGGAAAGAACAACGCGTAAACTGTTTTGTGAATGATGTGAATCCAAAATAAATTAAGAGTCCTGCAAGTCTGAGAATAATTTAGTTAGAAATTAATCAATACGCCTGAAATAATCCATTTAAATTCCAATTTCGCTGATTTTTATTGAATAGTGGTATTTGCATTATTCTGGCTATATTTTTCAATTATAAATATCATAAATAAGCAATAAGTATAATAAAGTATGGATCGCTTTTAAAATACACATTGACTACTATCCATACAAAATAATTATGTACATTTGAAACTTCTCTTTGATGTTCCGTAACTGAAATCAAATCTAACATTGACTGCATGAAATATAAGTGAGGAAATAGCTTACTGTCTGCTCCTCCGATGAACCGCAAGGCATTGCCGATGAAGGGGTACCCAGCAGGCCCTGGAATCTTGGAGGCCAGTTCGTAGAGCCGCCTCCTGGAGAACCAGAAGTAGCCGTAGGCGGCGATCGCTGCCGTCAGCCCCGCCACCAGTATCGAGTCGATGCCCAGAACATCCATTCCACCTAGTAAAATCATTTCCTTTGAAAAAGATCTAATTGTCCTGTACCAAAATATTTCATGAAGGCTTTTAGGTCGTTTCTTGGAAAGAATTTACCGCTTCGTGACCAATATCTATCAAAGAGATAATAACGATAATTCAGCCTGATTCAGTGTGCTAACTCAGGATTTGTCCTATGGATATGTACCAAATTCGATCCACAGATAATATAACAGAATGCTGATTACATTCCATGTCGATGCCGAAGCCGGAAACTATAGCTCCAGTGTCTTCTCCACTAAGCTACCTAATGAATCTTCAATATATGTACTACACTTGATTTTGTTTTATAATTTGCTTTTTTTCAACATTGATAACCATCCGGATGATAATACCGTTAATTTACTTTATTACTAACGCTTAAATTCTTTAATGCCTAGATTTCTATTAATTTTATAAACACTCAAAATTGATAATGTCCCATGGGGCCAAGACTATTATCAATCAAAATTTCCTAAATTCTTTTAGCAGAATCTAAAGCGTGGCTAAATATATTAATATTTCTGAAAATTGGCTTATTATCCGCATAGAGAAACCAATCGTTTCAAATCACAATTTTTTTTTTAATTTTCTGACTAATGATTATCCGCATTAATTAAATTAAAACAATACCTGTAACAAAATAAATTACTGGACTAGAGCTGTTAAACTGAGCGTCGAATAGGAGATGTCTTTGATATACTGACTCTTTCAGACAACTGACTATATATAAGTCTAACTCTATCTTCTATAGTCTCAAGCTAAGCCATATAGGGAACAAAGGTTACGTCTGACGTTGAAGGACCTAAGCTTGATTTTTTTTTTATACTTTTCTACCGTTATTTCAGTGTGTGATAATACGGTGGCGACGACAATGGCATGAAACCTACTTTTTGATTCTGTGGTTAACTAAATAACTAAATATTTTTAACATTAATGGATTGTTAACCAGTGGTACGATTACGAACTTAATATTCATTGTTTGGCTCTTAGCACTAATCAACGCATTTGCTTGTAATTTATGTTTATAGAAAAGATTGGCTCAATTCGTTTGTTAACTATAGTAAGTTTAATGCATACAAACCTTAAGAGTTTGTTTATTTAAAGGCAGCAATTTCATGTCTTGCCTTATCTATATCAGGTTTCGTGGAAAACCGGTACAGATGAACTTGCACTACAGGTAGAAATAAATATAAAAATCGTTTACGCTGAAATAATTCTATTTTTTATTTATTTTTTTAAAAACGTGTTCTCCACCTGAACAAACGACTCACATGGAATCTTCACAGGAATGAAACGACAAGAAACTGCTCGACGTTTCCGACTAATCCAACACTTACTAGACAAACGCTCTAAGCTTTCAATCAATTACAAACGATTCATACATATGACAATAATAAGACCTGTTTGGACTTACGGAATTGAGCTTTGGGGCTCCACTAAACCATCGAATTCCTCTCGTGTCCAATCCTTACAATCCAAAATCCTTCGTAAAATCCTCAACGCTCCTTACTTTGTCACAAATAAAATCATTCATAAAGACCTTAATGTTCCATATTTTCCGATTTGGCCCAATCCAGATACCTACCCTTCCATAACAAACTCCAGAACCATCGGAACCCTCTCGTTTCAAACCTTGCTTCCTCCTCAACTCTGATAACCCTCCGAGGCGTTTGAAAAGAAGATGGCCTCGTGATCTACTTATGTAAATATTGGAGTGCTACCAATGAGAAGTTTCTCAATAAGCGTTTTCATGTGATTGTATTATTACTGTGTGCACATTTACTAGTTGTATTTTTTTTTTATAATACAATTGTAAATACCAATGAATAAAAAAAAAAAAAAAAAAACGTAAAAACATGTTCGTAAAAATCTTTGTTTGTTCAAATCCATATATCTTGTAGAAGCTTCCGGGCCATTCCATGTCAAATCAGCTAGGGTCTGACCCGAAGGGTATTGGATTTTGCTATAGTTTTAGTTATTTGTTTTATGAAGTCATATATATTTCTTTTTATCGTTGAAAATAAATACATTCTGCCACACTGGAGGACATTAATGTTAGTGCTACATTGAACATTCACACAATATATACATACAAAAGATAACTAAAATAGAGATAAAAGAAAAAGAGCTGTAGAATGTAAAATAAGAAAATTAACATACATATTTAATAAAATAAAAAAAAGAAATGTTAGAGAGAAACTAAATGAATTTAAAATAGACACAACACATTCACACCTATTGTATGCAATAATATAAAGAAAAATACAAAAAAATTTTATTGGACCTACAGTTTTTGAGTTATAAATTTTTTAAATAATTAAAAATCTCGAAAAACTCTTTTTTTTAATAGGTTTAAGATTATTTCTCAAGAATTATTTGAACGAGAAAGCTGAAAACGGTATCATATTGTTCAGTCGTTTAATTAAAATAAAAAATAAGAGACACTTTAACAACGATTTGTAAATATTGTATCCAAGTTTTTTATTGTACTTAATTGAATAAACTTACATATAAGTAACATATAAATAAAAATATATAGCATAAATTTAAATTTAAAAATGTGTTTATTTTTATATTGGCGGACTTTGACGGCGTTTTCAGTGTACCTATTGTAGGTCAACATTTTTAGAAATGTATTAAAATTTCTTGGTGGGAAATTTTTTTATTTTTGAATATCTCCTCCTAAAAAGTTTAATGTACTTCCTCATTCAGCTAGAAAGTATGAAAGTGAGCATTCGTCAATACAACGAAAACTTCTCATATATTCCTAATTTCATATGCAGGGTAAAAATTTGTGTAACTTTCTTGCATATTGTCCTCCTAAAACTCTAATTTTGAAAGGAGTGGCGTTGGAATACGAAAAATTTAAAAGAAAATAATTTGACTAAAAGGAATATTAGAAACTTACAAAGTTGTATTTCAGAATGATAAGATGATTTCAGATATAACAAGAAAAACAAAGCTAGACTGAATCAGGACTATTTATCATCCTGAAATTACGTGATTTATCAGTAATGATTTTGGTAACTAATAAAAGGTCACTCATATCAATAGTACGTAATCAAATTAAAATTTGAAATTTAATGATGAAATTTTCAAGCATTGTGAGTTTTGATACCTGAATGGTTCAAAATAGATTTAGTCAATTTTTGTCCACATTTTTCAATCAGGCTGATGTTTTTACTTGATACTCTTCAATAACGGCTTCTCCTGTAGTTTCTTTTGTAGTTTATTGCCAAACGATAAACCATATTTCTGGACATTTAGGTGATTAGGTAACCTAAAGAAATGGCGAGGAAACAATAATGACCCTACATGGCGTACTTTTTTTTCTGCTTCACAGACCTTGTAGATCTTTGACCACCTGAACCAGGCTTCTTCATCTCTGTCTATATGGCCCTAACGCTTTTTACTTTGCTGCATACAATTCATTGATTACACCTATTTATCTGGATTTTGTGTTCCCAGGAGGTATTTTACAACTATTGAGCTTTCATTGTTGCCTGTAGGCTTCCGACCATATTAATTAGTCTAATTTAAACAAAAATTATACTCAAAGTATAATAGTAAGTGAAAATTGTGTGATGCGCGCACCAGATTTTTTATGTTGCAATCGCTTTATATTAACGAATAGTAAGTGAGCTTACAAAATCGTCATGGATCTCGGTATTCTGTAGGAACCATGAACACCCTCTATAAATAAAAGTGATGTATGCTGGTATAATGAAATGAAAATATTTTTATTATTTTTGGAAAAAGTCCCATTAGTGTAGAAATGTATTAGTGATATACTTTTTTTGGGGGGGCAAACATTATTAATTGCAATTGCAGTTGAAATGAATAATTGAAATTTTATTTATATTATTTGTTTTACAGTATAATTTTTGTTGAACAGTATAATATTTAATTTAACGGTACGACAACAGCATAAATGAGGCAACAAATGATTTTGAAGAGTTTCATTTGAGGACACATGTAAGAATACTGTTTTGTGGGCGCGTTATTTTATGTTGCATACCCTGAAACGGTCTTAAGCTAATCAGTCTAGGAAATCTTCCTCAAGTTGGTTATGGGGATCTATGTACGTTTTTATGTTAAATTAACCATTGAAAACCCATGAATGTGCTGCGTGGACAGGGTGAGTGATTTGTCAGAGTGAGCTTTAGAACGAATGGCGTGAGACAGGCGCTGGGGTGTCTGTTCGTCAACATTGTATTGGGGAAAGCGGTGCGGGATGCACTGATCAAAACAACATTCACAGGGTTTAATTCGAGGACCCCTCCCCTCCCCTCCAAAAAAAAGACATTGTCGGTATATCCCAGGTAGTTCGTGAGGCCTTCCTCTCACCAGAAGCAACAGCCGGAAAACTTGGTCTACGTGTAAATGCAACTAACATCTAGTATGTGACCTTCAAGTTTGGTACCTTGGCAGATACTGTACAGTTTGGCTCCTTTAAGTATGAAAAAGTGGATTGATCCGTCAACCTGTGGTCCCTGATAATTGTGAGCTGTGATATCTCAAAGGAAATTGAGAGAAGAAATGTTATTGCAAAATAATGTTAATTTAGGCTGGGAAGACCGGTTCTGACGTACAGGTTGGGGTCATGGCTAATACCACGGACGGATGAACGAAGTTTATTGGCTTTTGAGAGAAGGATTCTACGGTACACCAATGTGCCTAGGAGGGTTGATCAAATATACCTCTGGCGGAGTAATCAAAAAATGTATACCCTCTTGGTATATCAGACTTCGTGAAGCACATAAGGCTGGGACGATTGGCGTTGGATGGCCATATGCGTGAATATCAGAGGATGAGATCCCCAGAAAAATAATGATCGAGGCAATTCAGAGCACCTGGCGTCTTAGCTGAAGGAATGGCGTAACGGAGGATGTTCGGACAATCTTGGGGTCAGATACTGGAGAACTTCTGTCCAACAGCGTGCAAACTGGCGGAAATTATTGGAGGAGGCCAGGGCTCAGTTATGGTATGTCGAACCAATGGATAAAGAAGATCTGTTATTTGGAATAATTTAGGACCACATTATAAAGCAACAACAGGTGTGAATGTCATACTTATTTATCAAAAGTATCCCAAAATTATATTTCGACGGCCATTTTATATTAAAGTACCGTGTATGTTTTTAACATTTTTTATACCGGATTTGGTACGTTTGTCCATCATGTAACGGCAATTTCATTAAGCATACCTGACTATGAAATAATATTTTGCACTCACCAACATACGCTCTACCTTAATCTGAAATCAAATTCTCTGACTTCTTCAACGCATACTCAAAATAAGGCAGCGTCTCAGTTAGTATATTTTTTTTTTAAATTTTCGTCATCTAAAACTTTAATTTTTTGTTTTCAAATATTCTTATTTGTATATTAGCTACTTAGAAGTGTTGTTTTCCAAAAGAATTTTAGAACAAAGTTCCTGATTTACTAACGGATTTGTTTTTTAAGATAGGTGGGAAAACATGATTAATAAAAAAAGAAATAAAAGGAAATAGATGTATATTTTTAAATATTTCCCATTAAACAATCAATAAAATCCACACACAATATCATATTTCAATTGGGTAAATAAATAATATATAAATAGATCAGTTTTCTTACAACCCTACACAAGATGCGAACATTTAATTTTATAAGTTGAAATACATAATCCCATAAAAAACAACAACAAAAGAGTATCATTAATAACAACACAATTGAACAAATAAAGAGTCCTGTTGGTCTCACTTTAGTGATTAATAACGTGAACAAAAAAAAAATCAATGTTTTAATAAATCTTTTCAAATTTGAGTAGAATCCTTTACATTGAATAATTAATTACTAATGTAGTTAATATTATTATTATTTTGAGCAGTGAAAGATTTTCTTTTGCATTTATACTGAGCTCGTTCTAGGTTCCACGCGAATTCCAAATCCATCCGTTCTCTTGAGAATAATATCGCCTTGCAATTTCCAATCTGCTTCCTTCTTGCCAGGTAGAACCTTGTACTTTCTTAAGATGGTGGCTATTAGAACTTTTAGTTTCAGCATAGCATATTTTCTTCCTAAAAAATAAAAGTATTCAATACAAGTTTTTTTGTATCGCTCCTATCTGAAACTGGTATGGTATAAATTTCTGCGTATGTATTGAAATACAACCTGCATTTTTAAAGTACGTATCCGCTAATCTTTACACTATTTGTGTAACGAGTTTTCTTGTATTAAAATATGTGTATATGAACTATGTAAGTAGAATGAGTCTCAACTCAAAACCGATAAAAATTGCACACGTGCTGTTTCTGAAATAACCAATTCAAAGGTATTTTTGACTACAAGTTAAATATATTCATAAGATTATTCTTTTAATAGATTCATCAGTGGAGTTTTTTAATCACTGCTCATAAAATGAGCGTTTATCTACTAAACCGACGGGTGAACGATAGCACTCAAATATTGACAAGAAAATAAGAAGAGTATCGAGAAATCCTACCTCGTGGTTCGAAAAGCCTCTTTATTATTATTCATTTATTTTATTTATTTTTTTTAATAAGGGAATGGAATAGTGACCTGATAACTTTACGACCATCATTTTTTTTTTATATAATTGTAACTAAATAATAGATTAATTTAAAATCCTTGACATTTGACATCTTAAAATCTTTGATGATGAAAGACATCGTCTTTTTCCTCATTTCAGTCAATACAAAACGTTTTTCAACTCTTGAAAAAATTCGATTATATATTGTTGAAAAACATGGTCAAACATTGTTCAGGAGATGTGAACAAAGCCCTGAAACGTAATTTATTTCAAATTTATATATTAATTATTAACTAGTGTATAAAATAAAAGAGGTCTGATTGCCACATATTCAATAATTTTATTTATTATTAGTTTATAATAATTGATTTAATATCCAAATTATTCCTCAAAAAGTGCTTTTCGATTTCGTAAATAAATATATAGTTTGTGGTACAGACCCCTTTTTATCAAATTATTAACATCCGTAAAGAACTTCGTTTCATCGTAAACTACAAATATTTTATTTACGAAAATTCTTGTAATTGGAGCATTTTCAATCGGGAGGTCGGCAAACTTTGTCTATTTAATTAATTACTAAAAACTCGTAAATACCCATTTTCTTACCTCTTGGATCGTAAAGTAATTTTATCTCAAAATTTAAAAAAAAAGAAAGCTTACAAAAACATTGGGCCGTTAGGCCTAAGTAACCTCGTTATTTTAACAGTTTGGGGTTGTAGGTCATGCCAATCGGCTAAATATTTTTGAAAGCCAAATTTTTTCTCTGCTTTGTGCTCAAATTATATTACGATTCAAGCGGAAGGAAATGGGTGTTTACGAGTTTTTAGTACCTAATTAAATAGACAAAGTTTTCCGACCTCCATATTGAAAACGCCCCAATTCCCAGAATTTTCGTAAATAAAATATTTGTACGTTACGATGAGATGAAGCTATTTACGAAATTTCAGCCAGATGTTAATAATTTGATGAAAAAAGGTCTGTACCACGGACTATAACATTCAGTGATTTCAACCATCTATATATTGTTGTAGTAATAATCTTGCATTTACAACATGCATCGTGCTATATTTTTTTGTAATATATTCTTCCTATTAATTTTGGCTACTTTATTAATTTTATTGAAATATTAATTTTCGTCTTCGGACTCATCTTGGTATAATAGTTGTTGATAAACTTTATTTTACGAAATACTTTTAATAGTTATCCATCCACGTAGTTACTGGTGTTATCAACTGACCACAATGCATTTAAAATTAAAGTCATCATACCTTATGAAAAGACATTGAATAGACATGAATAGGATAGAATAAATAATACGCTGAATATACAGACCCACACAACTTCTGGGTCCAGCAGAGAAGGGGACGTAGGAATAATAGTGCCTGGAGGCAGATCTCTCTGGGAGGAAGTTATCAGGATCGAAAACGTTTGGATTTGGATATATGTTCTCCTTCCTGTGAAGTTTGAATGTGGCCACTATTACTGTACACTTGGCTGGAATTACCAAGTCCCGGGATGCTGGAAACGAAGCAAGTAATTAGAACTTGTGTAATGTTTCATTATTCAATTTCGGTGCAATTTATATATTAAAAATTACTATATATATTATTGAAGACCATTAAGACTAATTTAAAAAAACAGTTATTCATTTATCTACATTGTTCTTTCATTAGTACATATTCTTTGTATAGCGGAACCTTGATTATCCTGATAATGCAGAGGAGGTTGGTGCACAAATAATCAAAAACTGCACAAATATTTTTTTTTTTAAATATTTACCAATTATTCATTGCTCATTTCATAATTCATCATAATGAAAGTAAAATCAAAATGAATAACAATAATAAATTATATTTATCCATGTACATACTAATATAAATATATATATGTGTATTTATAATGTGACATGAAACAGCAAATGTTCCAATGAAAAATAAGATTTATTAGAACAAAAATAATCCGATATTTTTAGTTTTTTTTTGTCATTTTATTTTTATAATGTTGTCTCATTTCTCATAATTTAATATTTTTGTACGATCAGCATTCTCTTGTTTAAAATAATTTAGCAGAGTTTCTAGAAATGGGAGCCCTATCTACCTGCTTCATGAGCTTGTCTAATCTCGCCATTTTAACAAATACCGGATAGTTCGTTCTCCAATTATATTTTTTAACCTTCAATTTTACAAGATTTGTCATTTTATTTTTTTATTTTCAGATAAGACATTGAGCTTCCTTTTTGCAGGTATTTTCTTAAGATCAGGTTCGAACTGTTGAACAACACTTACGTAAAACATTAGTAGGATAGAAGGTTTTCATGGACTTTTAAAACATTAGAAGCAAGATTCTATTCAAAAATCTACAAGTTCTTAATTATTTCTCCTAAATGATGAGGATTCGTTTATTCCTTACCCCTGCAGGTAAATTTTAATTTGAATACAATATGCAATATTGGAAAGCAAATAAAAATAAATAAATCAAATGCAAAGTTAAATAAGAAAAAAAGAGAGAAATTCCCAGTTAATCAAGTACGTGAATAATTGAAGTTCGACTATATATGATTTTAAACTTTTTTTTTTTGTCCTCCCCTTCCTCGCCTTTTGGTTAAACAGAGGTTGAGGGCGGAGGATTAAAGGCAGAGTTAAAAGCCCCCCTAGGCACCGGAACTCGAACTCATAATTATTTTAATCAAATAATCTTTGATCCGGATTGCCGGGCAACCTGCAGTGCTGCGCACGCTCATTAGCCCGCTCGGCCACTCGTACCACTTATTTGTTTTCACTATTAATTTCTTTCTTACCTAATTTAAGTTCATGCTGCAGCTCCCTTGCAATCACTGGCACAGGTGGATACATGCGAAGTGTTTCCATCAGGCATCGCTCGATGTATTTCATCTCGAGGGTGTCTTCGAATGTAACAGGCCTGTCCGAGTCGCCGAAGATTTTATTTAACTCTTCTATACATTTTTCCTATATCGAACAATATTATGGGTTTCAGAGAATATTCATTACAAAATATTTCAATTTTAGAAAATAAGGTATTTTATCCGAATTGTCTTTATTATACCTGAATGTCTGGACGTGCTGCCATCTCACAAAGGAAAAAGCTGCTTGCTGCAGCCGTGGTATCGTGTCCCTTAAAGATAATATTATTTCTTTTAATTAAATCGTGGCTACTAATGTTACTATTTTGACATAGTGTAAAAATAATAAATAAATTAATTATTAATCGAATAAGCATGTGGACCGCCCATCACCACATGCATTAATGGCTGTATAATTTAAAAATATATGTCGAAAGCAATCAACGATTTCTTAGTTTTGTATTTTTTTTTTCGTTTGAGTATCTAGCATAAACTGACAGTTAAGAGACCTAAACGGAAAACTGTATATTGTGAGAGTCTTAAAACACAATAGACTTAGATGGTTGGGGCATGTGGTGGAAATAAAGTCTACGAGAATTCCAAGAAAACTCCTCAATAGAAACCCGGAGGAAGGAAAAGCCTCAGCTCAGATGGTAAGACGACATGGAAGTAAGGAGTATAGTTGGGCAAGTTTCTAAACTCGGCGCATATTCTATCGATTGAAGCCAACGAAAGGTCAGAGATTTATGCTGAGTTTAGGAACAACCTACTGGATTCCAGCGGAAGGTTAACATAATGTGACAAACACATGAAAATAAAAAATATTTACGAAAATATCTAAAAACTGATTAGTAGAATTTCAAAATAAATAATTATAGAAAGTAAGTATAAATAGGCAAAGTAATTTGATAAATAACGTCACTGAGATTATAATGAGGTTACATCGAGCGGAACCATCGATAATTAGTTGATGGTTGAGCCATCGGTGATTTAATCGATGAATAAAGGAATTATCTGAATTCCACCGAACAAGTTTAGGAATGGTCTGATGGATTTTCGTTGCCATTAATCAGCTCAGGAGTTTTAGAAACTTGCCCATATTAAGGGAAACGTTTTGCAGCTGACAGGGTTGAAAGAAGGAAGACTTATTGAGCAAAATATCTTGATACTACCAATGATTTGCGCCTATCCTTGGAACATTACTAGAAAGTAGGCCTTAAACACCCAGGTACTTGGAATTTTATAACAAGTGATATCTTTAGGGCGATGTTGTTCCATTAAAATCTACTATATTTTTTTTTTAGAATCCTCGGATTGTAAGATTCATTCTCTTGAGTTTGAGAATAAGTTACAGAGAAAAGATTATTATTGCTTACCTCAAACATTATCGTGTCTACTTGGTTCTGAATTTCCTCGTCCGTTAACTTACCACCTTGAGAAGCATCAATCAAAAGGTCTAGAAACGCTAACCTCTTTTTTTCTCCTGAAATATTCCAAAATGTGATCTTATTACGAAAATAATATAATGGCAATAATTTGAAGTTAATAGATATATTGTTTTCTTATTTTCAAAATCGAACCTATGAAGGATCTGCAATGATATAAATAATATCAATTATATAAGGAGAAAAAGAGTTTCTACAAATGAGGTAAAATAACAGATTTTTTTTTTTTAATCACTTCAATAAATAGAGGACTAAAGTACATGAAGTAAGATTTCGAGAAACAAAGAAATTGAAGGAACAAATTATAAATTAATTAATACCTATTATAATTTTGAAAACTCATTTTCAAGTTATTTTAATACATTAGTTATATTAATCATACGTTATATTAGGTAAGGGCTAAAATGGCCGTATGAGGTTGACGAGCCTTATCATGAATAGATAAATAATCATAATGTAAAGACTCACCTATGTCCTCATCCAAATCATCTTTTATCCCTTTAGAGTGTCCAAACGAAAAATCGCCTTCAACTTGAATCTTGCCATCGTCGCCTGTTACGAAGGTCACGTTTCCAGGCAGTTTGCTTCCGTTATTCTTGTACTCCTCCATCCGAATTTTCAAAACCTACAATATTTCCCATTAATTAAATAAACATTTACTAACTTAATTTAATATAATTGTAAAATAAAATACATAAATATTCACTTATACATAGGTATTATTCTAGCTTTATATTACAAATATTACGATGAACTTTATTGGTAACCACAGGTGAGATGTTAATTTATTATGTATATAAAAAAAAAAACTTGTGTCGCAGACAAGCGTTTGAAACGCACACCATTTTCACAAGCTCGGCTATGTTTCCAGGCTTAATGTTTGGTTCCCTCACTCTCTAACCGAAGTCAACTTGGCAACACGCATTTCTGTTTTGTGGTTCACTACGAAAACCAACAAAACGATCCATTTTAGAAAAAGTTGGTAATAGGAGATGGAAAATGGATATTTTACAATGATGTAGTCCATTGAAAATTTTGGGGACCTAGTAGTGTGGCTCCTAGAAGAATGTCAAAACTCGGATTGCATCCAAAAAAGATAATGCTTTCCATATGGTGGGATTTCAAGGGTGTTATTTTCTATGAGCTATTCACATCAGAATGAAAAATTGATTCAACTCCATACTGCTCACAATTAACTAAATTGGATCAATCAATTTAAAAGAAACGCCCAGAACTGGCAAATCGGCAGGGTGTTGCGTTCTACCAGGACAACGCAAACCAGATCTAGCTTCACCAGACCTAGCTCCAAGTGATTACCACTTATTCCGTCTCTACAGAACTCCATGAATGGAAAGAAATTCCAAAAAAAAAGAAGACATAAAAAGCGACCAATTTTTTAACTATAAACTCTATTTATGACATTCTATGAACATGGTATTATGCAGTAAATGGAAAAATGGGAAAAGGCATATTAAATAATAGTCAATATTGTATATACATATGCTAATATATATATATTATATATATATATATATATATATATATATATATATATATATATATATATATATATATTCTAACGATTTTTTTCTCTTAGTCGCAAAGATAAGTTATTGAAATTTTCAAAATTTTAACTTTTTAGGATGGAATCTTTTCTAATGCACACATGTTAAAATTGGTTATTGCTGGGGCTCACTAGTTATCCAGTGTCAGTGCAGTTAACTAGGTTTTTCAACTCCTTTAGTTTATATGGTAAAGTTACGAATTAAATATTTTGACGGTTTGCAGAAATTCACTTTAAAAATATATTTTAGGTAGAGCTAAATTTTGACTTAATTTATTAATAAACTGTATTCGATAAGAAAAGAGGTTTGGTACAGATGCCTTATGATCAGTTGGTCTTCTACTTTGTATAAAATAAAATATATTGCAACTTTACCTTTTTTGTCAAGCTGTGAATAATATTAAGGAGCTTATCTTGTAATTTCCCCAGAGACGTTAAATAGAAAATTATGTTTGGCCTCAACCATAATTTCGTTTGACGGAGATGGAGGATATCGCACATCCTATATTAAAATATATATAAATATAAATAGCAAATATCTTTTATTGGAAAATATTATCATAAAATATCAAAGTTCTAAATTTTACTTTCTGGAGAAAACAACTCACTTCATCACAGCCATTGCATATTCATAACCACTTTCTTGAGTCTTTTTGTTCACACCCATGGCTGTTTCTGGAAAATAAATTAAATATTATAATTGAGCCCAATAATCAGTTAAATATTTGCAAGTAATACTAAATTTCATCTATTATATTATAGAAATATATAAATGCTGTTGAACGTGATCTTGGTCAAATCACCTCATTGCACAATCATTAAAAAGTACTTCCTTAAAAATTACTGAATCCCATTTACGGATTTTAATGGTATGAGTTTTACTAACATTTATACATATATATATATATATATATATATATATATATATATATATATATGTTTTGGTCTCAGTGGTAACTTTATGTTTACTATATAAAGTCTTATGTATGCCAGATAGAATAAGTAATGATACAGCTCCCTCATTATTATTGTTCTTTTAACACATTTTTATGAAAGTTCTAATATTTCAAGATCATTGTTTTGTTTGAAGTTTAATAAAATGGTTTGAAAATAAAACCTAAGATACGATTAAGTTTTGAAAGACATGCTTGCCTATGAAAATCATTTTTCATAATCAAAATTAATAGATGGAATTAATATTCTTACATTAGCCTTCACATTCCCCCAACTTTCAGCCAAATCGGACTATTGAAATATAAGTGTGGCTTGTAATAAAATAGATTTGTCACTATTTAGTCTATTTATGACCGCCACCCTGGACCATCTACTTCCTTTATAATGCAACGTTAAACTATTAAATATTTAATTTATTTATTTTTATTTTGCCTGTAACCTATAGGGTCATTGGTAGTATCTTCAAATTAAAATTTGTTATAGAATTTCACCGCTTTTAGGAAACTCGATGTTTTTTAACTGCTCTTTCGCTGTCTTTCAGATTTTCATTTAACAGTTTTAAATATAGGACAGTCTTTTATAATGTGTTTTACTGTTCTTTGGATATTGCAGCCCTGGCAGGCCGGAGGATCAAATCCACTAAGTAGATAGGCGTGCGAGAACTCAAATACCAATTCGTAGCATACAGAAGGTTGTATATGAAACAAAATAATTCGAGAACATTCGATTCTAAGGACCAGTTACTATTTCTAGAGCAGAAGCTACACATATACCTACTACCTACTACTCCAAAATCGACCTCCGATTGTTAGTTAAAAAAATAATAGTTTTTATCGACATGATCAAAACCGAGATCGATAATAAGCAGTTCTGTCTCTACCTTTCTAACTGAGCTGATTTATTTCGAAATTATATTCTCAAACTTATTTGTATTATTATGTATCTGCATATATTTATATTATCGCAACATATAAGCATGGAGGTTTTTTTATATAATCAAGAACCCACCTAATAAAATTTCCACAGTTGCTTCACTCATATAGTCGTGGCAGTCGAATTCTTTACCCACTTCCTTCTTCAACTTCGTTGCAACTCCCCTGCTGTTGCTATTGAAGAGCGGTATAAAGGATTTCAAAATATTCAAATGAAATGTTGGAGCTATAAGTTTTCGGTGGTTTCTCCATTTGTTTCCTGTAATTAAAATCGTTATTAAACATATACTATTTATCACTGACTAGTCATCGTAAGAAATAATACTGCTTAGTTATATTTTGATTATAAAAACTATAAAATTTATATACAGTTCATCTCAATATTTTTAGAGCCATTTTCAAACCTCAACAGCAATATCAACTAAAAATGATTGAAATATTTTTGGAGTATAGTTTTTTTTTATACCTATAGCTTTGAAAATAACCTTAGTAAGTTGAATTATGTTCCTCTTTCATTCACATAAAACAAAAAAATCGATATATTTTATTATTGCGAAACTTTCCGAGACCTTTAGTTATGTTATTAAAGATTTAGTTAAAATTTGTTTTAAAGAATTGGTGCAGTTGCTTTTGTGGTTAATGGTTGCAAACGAAAAACACGTTATTTTATGTAATAGTAGAATTTACTCAAAATAATATGTCTAATGCATTCAAACATATTTTTTAGATCAAAAAAATGAATACGAAATGTTTGTCAACATTTTCAAATCATTGTATTTTTTTACTAAGATTCAAATTTTCATATAATTCATTTTATTTTGTCATTGACTGCCTAATCCATTAAAATGAGTTTTTCCAATAAAAAAAAAAAAATATTTTAAACAAAATCTATTTTCTTTAATATGAGTTAATTCTAGCATCCATGAGTTAATATGGATCAATGACGGACATTTGTGGGTGAGATTAACCACTATTTGTAAATTCGAAAAAAAATATCTTTTACTTTGGCCGAAAACATTTTGTATTAATTATATGACAATCATGGTACAAAAAAACTATAAAGAGGTGGCTATATTTAATTAAAGATTTTTATGTACAAAAAAATAAGAAAAAAAGATAGATAGTAAAAGGTTTAAACAGAAGATAAATAAAAATGGAAAATACAATCAATAAACTGTGTGTTGTATAAATCCAGGGATTTCCTGCTTCACCGATAACGCAAAAATAAAATCAGATTTCTGAGTATCATACAAGGCGAGAAAAAACATCCAAGTCAATCGTTAATTAAGGATTAAGACCATAAGAAAATGATTAGTATAATTCCACAAATATTTTAATTAACCATTTAAAAAAACTAATAAACAACGAACCAAAGTTGATTTTAAAAATCGTTTTCAACAATAATGCGCAAGACGAAAAATATATTAAAAATCTACACTATATATCTATATATAATACGCTAGTATATATTTCTTTTTCGGCTTTCAGAAACGATGGATTTGGTTGAATGCGGAATCAAATGAAAAAGAATTTCAGGATTTTTTTTTTTCTTTTCAACAACTTGTATAAGTATCATTGAAATTCGGATGTTTTCAAAGTCATCGAATCGGGACCGGGTCGGTTTTGAAGATTTTAAGATTCGGTTATCAAGACCTAGTATAGTTCCTAACTGCGTTTTAAAGTCAAAAAATGGCCCGTTTTCAAGATAAGTCGTAATTCTTGCAGGATACCTCTTAGTAGTTAGGTAATATGGCTCCCATGAGATACTTGTCGAGTATTTAAGTTTTAAAAATTAAAGTATTGTTTTTTATTTATTTTTTTTTTTTTGGTTCGGTGCCATTTTTTTTTTATTTTTTATAAAAGGTATTAGGCCAAAGGTCACCAATAACATACGTATTCATTTTATTTTTCTTTATTCGACGTTTCGCCCTCTCGAATCATTTTCAAGATTCTGTAGTAAATTTTAATTTAGTTATTTGTCTTTAAAATAATCGTTTATAAACAGTCTATTACATACATAGTCCTTATTCTATATATTATTCTATTTAAGGAACGTGGACAAATTGAAAAATGAAATGAAAACGTATGTTATTGGTGACCTTTGGTCTAAAACCTTTAATAAAAAAAAAAACATTGCTTTTTATGTTAGTCTTCGACGAATCAATCTTATCTTTATCTTCTTTGAAAACAATACCAAAGTCACCGTGTATGTTTCTGTTAGAGCAACGATACCAAAACTTCAAATATATTTCAAACATTCCGTAATAATCTATTGAATCACTAATCATGGTATATTAGAAAAGCATACAATGTAGGAAATGATTCATCGCTCACCTGTGCTGATAAGGAGACCGTCACCAAGCCATGGTTGGAAGAATTGGTATTCCGGTGCTTTGTCAATGTGAACATGGCTGCTTAAAATGAGCTGTAATAAAGACTCAAGGTTTCAATTAAAATATATACATAAATACTTTAGTTACAAGTTGGGTTTCCTTCTTAAAATTTATTTTATTAATATTAAAATTTAAAATTTATTTTTGCGACCTAGAAAGTGGTAAAACATGAAAACAAAAGCAGAATATAGACAAACTTGAAGACATTATCAAAGATGTATCCTCCAAAAATTGTTCCCTCGTCTAGTTGGAAAATTTCCTTTGTAACTACTTATTTGATCTTTGCGGCGTTTAAGTTAAGTCCTCTTTTCCTTGCTGAGTCAGCTAATGTTAAATACCCGTCAGACTCAACCTGAAAAGAGCATACAGCGATGTTGATGTTATAAGCGTACCCACTTTTATTCCGGAATATCCAATACCATTGTAGCCTATGTCCATTAACCTTTTTCTTCTTCTCATACTAAGTCAGGAGATTGATCCCTCCGTTAGTATTTCATCCTCCCACAAGTCCAGAGAGTGATCCCTCCGGTTGTGGTAACAATCATTGGGGAGTGTTAAGGCTAATCCCTTACACCGCAGACCAAGAGTGGTTCGGGTGCTGATCCGCCTTACACTTGAGGTCATCCATCTATACATTTTCCTTCATCCACTCAGTCATCTTAACCCTCTACACTGAACACCCACTGTCAAGGCCTTCTGGTAATTTACATACTACCACTGTATATATACCTCGACACCTTTACCTAAAGTTAATTTAGTATCGTAGTAGATTTTTATAAAAAATATTCTACATTCCTTATTTATGTATTTCATTCCAATGAATCAAACATCATTTTCCATAAAAATATGAATGAATCAAAATCACAAAAAATACTTCTAAAATATATAGATTGCCAAAGTACGATCCGTTATCAAACGATATCTGAAGTTTGTTTTAAAAATGTTATAATCTCCTCTTGTTATTTTCTAAATCATTGTTGTGTAAATAAACTGCATAGTTGTTTATCTTAATTGTGAAGAAAGGGCAATTTATACTTAAAATCCTGTCATTACTAAACCTTTCGGCTTTTCAGCTTAATTTTTATAAGTACCAGGCCTAATTCAATAAGTGAAAAATTAATGTGATATAATATTTCCATCAAAACTCTTTTTACCTCAGTTTCCTTTTCTTTTATTGTTTTATTTACCATATTCATATTTTTTGTACTTTTTTACGGCTTCATAATTTACAAAGTATCTTTTATTAAAATTTCGAATCCATTTTAATTAAAACATCTCCTGACAACTACCAGGACATGATTTTATTTTACACATCTAGTGATCGTCGATAATAGAAAAAGGATCCCAATCCTTAAATTCAGACTCCCACAATTTGCTGAACATTCATCGTAAGCAGTAGAAGTGTAGAAGCCGTATTCATCCTGTCCTAAATAATTATAATTTGATATCACCTCCATATGTTATGAAGCTCGGGAACAAAAAAATCAATTTCCTCATCGCATACATTCTTTGGCTTACAGCATTATTTGTAATTTTTTTCTTGATCCCTGCAAAACGGATTCTATCTCGACGACTTCATATTCAAAGGACTCTTCATTCAAATGACCGCTCATTCAAGAATGAATGAGATAGCTGTTGGTTGTTTTCGACTTCTTCAACAATGATAAACCACAACTTGTAAAATTTTACAGAAAAAAATTCTAGTTGAACATAATCAGACTATTTTGGTTATTTAGAGTTGGGCTTTGGGCTCCATTGAACCACTGAATTATTTCCTAATCCAATCCTTACAATCTTTAATCTCCAATATTCCTGCAATTTATAGCCCTAAAACCCCTACTCTATCCTCTAGTATTTCTAATTTTGTCATGAATAAAATCATTCATAATGACCTTAATGTTGTTAATTAGTTTATTTCCTCCCACTAAACGACTAAACCCACTATTTTCTAAACTTTGTATGGATTTTAGAATAATCTGGTTTTTGAAAACAAGAGAACGCCCTGACCTGCACTTTAAATCTTCATCCGAGGGCTAACTGAGCTAAGATACCTTCTCCACAAGTCATTCTTAATTGTGGATAAAGTACAAATTCACTTCTAACGATTCTGATTCAGCATACTGCATTTATTTCTAATATACACAAGGAAAAAAATAAATAGATTTTGAATACAAATATCAATAACCACATTAACGTTTCTTACTTCAATGTCTGCAGGATCTGCTAGAAAAACTAATAAGCGAGGGCCAATCCAGAATTTTATTACATCTCCGTATTCGTGACACTTCTTCACCATGTTCTCGAACACCACTGTAATAGAATAAATTTTGTTTAAGCTAAAATTACTTCTCTAAAGCTACATAAAGACGAAGTAACCTGATATAACTCACTGTGAGCGCCACCCGAGAACTCCGATAAAGTGCCCAGAAGAGGGAGGCTGGTAGGTCCAGGGATCTTGGCCGCCAATTCGTAGAGCCGTCTTCTCGAGTACCAAAAGGCACCATATCCGGCGATCGCTGCTGTCAGCACAGCCCCGAAAAATGTTAATAAATCCATCCCTCTTCTGCAATAGATTAAAGCTTCACTTTTTATTTCAAACAATACATTTTTTAATGAAATTCTTTATAAAATAAAATTATTTTATTATTCTCATATATAGGTAATTTTTTATTTAACTATGCTAAATAATGGGTAATGTTTCAGATATTTGTAATCAACTGCTAGAAAATGAAACTAATTACATTAATGCAAAATTTATGTTTTTATCCCTTAATTATGTGACGGAATAATCTCTGGATGAATATATGATTACATGAGTGAAATATGTATGAAATACAAATATACGAGGATTTATATTTCTGTTGAATAATGAACTAAAATTGTTTCATATCTTTATTCTTTATTTTAAATTATTTTATTTTTTTAAAGATATTTAGTTTTAACATACGATAAAATAAAATGTAAAGTATAAAACAGTTTATGCATAAACTTTGAGATGTTGTCAAATAGTTTCCTCCTTCTAGAACTAAACTATTAAACACTACGAATAATTAATTAGCCTAGAACATAATACGAAATTTGGATGTTTTTTTTATTTAAGAAATATTACTTTGATGTTGGGGAAAAGATGTTAACCAGTTGATATTCTAATTTTATTTATTTTTTGTTATACCCATATCTATACTTTTTTTTTATATCTTTAAGATTTTAAACCAAATCCTATTTTGTCGACCTAAAGTCATTGTACCATATTGCATACTAAAACTGATTTATTCGTGTTTATTAATATTTATCAGTCTATCTCTAGCACCCGCCGAGTAAAGAGACTATAACCTCTGCTTTAATTGTTTTATTTTAATTTACTTAAGTTTTCAGATAGTATTATTTATAACACGGATTTAGTTTTAATAGTGATAAACTCAGAACATTCATATTATTTTTGGTGACAATTTTTCAACTAAGAATGCCCTTCTGGGGAGCAAAGTGAACATGGAAGACGAAGAAGAAACTTCTAGTACTTCAAAAAAAGATGGACAATCTAATTCAGCTCCGAAAAGAAGAAGAGGTGAGTCAACCTTATATAATATTCCTATTCAAAATAGTTACTCGGTTTTCTCCGATGAAGAAGAATATGAAGAGATCTCTGCCCAAACTAATAAAAATCCTGACTTACAAAAATTTCCCCCAATAGTAGTTAATTCCTCATTCTCAAATCACAAGGAAATAATTACAAAACTTAAAAATTCAGTAAAAGATATAAATATCAAATACGGTGGAAATAAAACTATTTTTTATGTATATAATAATGAAGTCTTCATAAACGTTAAAAATGAACTCAAATTACTTAATCATAATTTCCATACCTATACTCCTAAACATGAGATTAAGCCTAAAGTGGTATTAAAAGGCATGCCCCCGGACTATCCTATCGAAGACATTCAGGCCGCTCTAAATAGACAAAGCTTAAAGATTTACAAAATGTTTCAAATGACTAAAAAATTATATGGTGTTGAAAAAAAATTACCATTATCAATCATTATACTAAATAATAAAGAACAATTGGTAAAACTTAATCGCATAAAATACTGTAACAATGTTGTTATATCATGGGAAAAATATGTGAGAAAAAAGTGTTGACATAATGTTATTTATGTCAAGAATATAATCACGTAGCTCGAAACTGCTTCAAAAAAACCCCCTTGTCTTAAGTGCTCCGAGGAACACTTATCAAAAGACTGCCCTAATATCATACGCGAGGACTTCGTCCCGAAGTGCAGCAACTGCAATGAAAGTCATTTCTCAAATTAAGAAAAATGCCCACACTTCATGAGAAACCAGCAATTGAAGCACAGTAAACAACGACCAACCATCCACCCTTCCCAACGAAAAATATTCAAGCCAAGCAAAATGATTTTCCTTCCTTACCAAAAACAGACTCAAAATGGTTTCAAAAAACATTCTCAGACAATATTAATGGAAATAACCCTTCTTATAATGAACCATCTATTACTGAATGTTTTAAAGAAGTTAAAAATATTTTCAAAAATATTATTTCAGAAGTAAAAACGACAGAAGACAGTATGTCAAAAATATTTATTGTAATAGAAGGATTATTATCATTAATTGATCAACATTCATAAAAGTTTAAAATGCTTAAAATAGGCTTAAGATGCTATTTATGTAATATTTTCTTATTTATTAGTTTAATATCACATATTGTATACTTTAACTACAACACTCTTCTGTGTACTACTGACCTTAAAGTGAGTACAACCAAATGTAAACACACAGAACAGTCAACCACGAGAGCAGTCAATTCATTCACATCAATTTCCGAATATATGGATACTACATTGCTATTGTTTATATTAAACAAAACATGTCTTAATACTCAAGCGAAAACAATACTACACCTTATATATCGAAAACTAAATCAATCTGACGACTTAATAATATTTACGTATTTTTACCTATACGTTTTGTTTCTTCTATTTACGCATTATTATTTTTTTTTACTATTACTTGTATATTAGAGATTCTATACTTTTTTTTTTTTATTCATAATGAATAACGATAGTCGTCATTTAAAATTAATGATGTGGAATGCCCAAACACTTCGCCGAAATGGTACAGAATTCAAAGAATTTCTACATCAAAATCAACCTCATATAGTATCAGTAAGCGAAACCCGTTTATCTCCTGAGGACCGATTCTTGGCCCCTGGCTACACTGATTACCGAAAGGACAGGAACAGAACAGGCGGGGGGTTATGATACTGGTGCGTTCAGATCTACAGCATGTTTACAGGCCGATTGATAATTTAAAATACGCCGACGCGACTGCAATTCAATTTAAGGTCAAAAACAAAATTATTAAAACAGTTGCAGTTTATATTCCACCAAATAAAGTAATTATATATGATCATAGAGTTATGTTTAATATCGGTAAACACACACTCATCTTCGGGGACTTGAATGCCAAAAATTCACAATGGAACTGCCATAATACGAATAAAAATGGAAAATAATTATTAAGTTTTATATCACGAAAAAATATAGAATTGCATGCTCCAAACGAGCCAACTCACATAATAACTCAGAAGAAATTCAAATCTAGCATTATTGACTTAGCCCTCACCAAAAATATTTCTGACGTTTCTCGCCTCATCTCGGTACCATGTCTCAGTTCGGATCATAACCCGGTGATCTTTCGATTGGAAAATAAATCCATAAAAACCAGTACGATCAAAAAATTCAAGTTCAAATTGGCTAATTGGGAAAAATTTCGGAAAATCGTAGATAAAAATCTAGATATTAACCCTGTTATAATAAATAACTCCGATATAGATTTGAGCATCGATAAATTTATGGATACTGTCAAAACTGGCATGATAAAATTCATTCCACAGGTATCCTGTCAATATAAACCCGACAACATTCCTCCTCAACTACAATTTTTTTATTTTTATAAAAAATAAATTCCGGAAAAAATACCAGCTCACCAGGAATATAAAGCATAAATGCCTCTATTAAATGCCTATGTAAAAATTCTTTTAAACAGTTGGAGAAACTTCAAGTGGCAGGAATCTCTTAAGGAACTGTCCCCTGGTTGTAAACAATTTCGGAAAATATATAAAATTTTGACAAATCGTTTCCACCATATCACACCATTCAAACTATCAAACAGTTTCGCATATTCTAATATAGAGAAGGCAGAAGCAATGGCAAACTATTTCACATCTATCAAATATTTCGGCTGATCTAGGTACCAAAAACAACCGGATTCTTCTCTATTAACAAACCCCTAACCACCCCAATTAATAAATTATATTTATAGGAAGTGTGTGTATATTTATATTTATAGGAAGTGTGTGTATATGTATATATATGTGTGAGTGGGTATGTGTGCGTGTGTATGTGTGTATATATATATATATATATATATATATATATATATATATATATATATATATATATAATTATGTATATAGTTTTCTTATGTATATAAATTATATTTTGTTTTTCTTGTAATTTTAAGAATTATAATCTAGTTTTTCATTTATATCCTATATAGGTTTTTTATTTTACTGTTTAAAATGGATTTCAATCTTCAAAACAACATTCGTACCACTAGTATGTCATGTATAAGTTTACTGCAACCACAAACATGTGATTTATCATTATGACATGATGTAATGTATATATAAATAAATAAAAAAATAAAAATATTTAAGACGTTGCAAATCGATTGGAAAGTGGCATTTGTTACAACTTCTTAATGATAAAAATATATAACCGCATTGAAAAACATAAATATTTCATGATAATTCATCCTAATTATTTTTGTAGAAACACTATTACTTTGAGGATATAGATTTTTGAATCAACCAAATGTTTTACGAAACTGGGGGTGACTTTTGTAGCAATGGCTTATTTTGGAGCAAATCTCAAATTATCAATTAGGACTTGATTCTTATTAAAACAAAAATAATTTTCTAAGAGTGTGGATTTTATAGTCCTGTCGGAAGCTGATTTCAAAAATCGCAAAATTATTCAGGATTTTGTGAAAAACAGAAGTTTAGCCGCTTAAAAGCCTACTTTAAATGGCTTTAATGAAAAAAAAAAAACCTAAGGTACTTTAGATACCTATAGGATAGAAGTGAAAACATCAACAAGAAACATCAACATGAAATATAAATAATAGCTCTTTATAAAGAGAATGAAATGCTGAACATTTTCCCTCCCCTAGAGTAGGCAGGTCCGATTTTTAGTTTTTAAGATATTTTAATCCATATGCAAAAAAACTTCAATTAGTCGACTCCAGCCGATTTAATCCGAGCGTTACAAATCGGAAATCTGATGGCTCAATCTAATTCACTCTCCAAAAAAAAGTTCAAACGCGCCTAAAGAAGTTTTCATTTCAAAAAACACTTATTAAAGTCTTATTTTATTATTAATTACTGCTTTTCTGTCTGGAATCTAATTCATAGTCTATATAAACATTTATATTGCGAATGAGGAATAGAATGACTTGCTGGGCTTTGATCCACTGATCCTGACACATTTTGTACCTAACTAGTGTTTAAGAAGATCGGCATAACTCAGAAGTGATCATTTAATAGATAAAAACCAAAAAGTACGAAAAAAGCCAGTACAAACAAAAAATTAACGTTTCCCACATTTTTCCTAACCATAATCAATCAGATATTCGTAAATGTGTATTACATATAAACATATATTTAGTGTAAACACGCACACACACACACACACATATGTATATATATGCACATACAACATAGATTAAAAATTGATCTTAGCATCTGCATAATAATTATAAATATCGAAAAAAAGAAAGTATTTATGTGTTCTTCAAAGTCTATATTCCTAATATTTTAATGAAAACGTTGGTTTGTTTCAATATACGCAATATATAATATCGATAAAAATAATTATCAGTGCCTTAAATATTATTTAGATTAAACCTTTACCTTTATCGCAGGCCGGTGGAATAAGCACATTCACGATACTCAGATGAGACTTATATATGATTCTGGCCTACCGTGAGAACACAAGGGAGAGCAATCAATAGGATTTTATAATAGAAACCAATTTGCTACGTTAAAATTTAAATAATTAGCTTGGATAATTAAAAGATACGAATAATTAAAAAAAAAATTAGCAAAAACTTTGTTTAGATGTGACCATGGGTGCTTGCATATCATAAACCAGCTCAAAGTAAATATTAAAAAAAATTCACGTGGACACAGAAAAAGATATATTCGGCGTTCAGCGATCCAACTGTCTGGGTCGCTACAAATTATATCACTCTATGTAGCTGTACTATTGGAGTACTATGTACAATTATATTACCAAATCGCTGCGGAAAGAATTATCGTATCGCTAGGAGATATCGCGTTCTATGTGCACGAATCAAATCGGAAACATTGGTTGTACCGAAATACGGAAACTTACAGGAGAGTTTAAGTGACCAGTTACTGGAAACAAATAACTCACTTGAGCTAGATATCGCATGAAGTATAATATTTGCAAGGTAAAAATATTCACCAGCCAATAATGTAATAATAATAATAATCCAAACAATGTGAAAACCAAAATAATGACAAATAGGAAAAAGACGGTGTAAAAAAAAAATCTAGTGCGCGCAACACACAACTTTCACTTAGCGATCTACTTTGAATAGAAATTATTTTCTGGCAATGTTGGGCTATTATAAAATTTTATAAAGTGCATTTTAAACGGAGCTAAAACTTAAAGCTTACAGATAACAAGTAATTAAGACCAGTATAAATACAAAATGTCTATTTAATATATCGAAGACATGAAATAAAAATCTAGTCACTCCATCTGCTTTTATAAATCGCACAACTTTCTTTGCTTTTATAAACCACAGAATGACTAATTTCAATTTCAACAATTTTGAGTGATGTTAATTTAGTGATATTTTTAGTTGAAAAAGTTATCTATGCAGACAATGAGTAAGTTGATTCCGGAGGTGGTCATTGCAGCGTTGAAATATAGAACTGAGAATAAAGGTATAAATTTAGGTACTTATTTCTTATGAAAGATGTTCTTAGGAAATACACTTTATTAAATATCTGTAGAAAAAAGGTTTTTTAATCTCAATAATTAAAAAAGTATATTTTAAATCTATCCAAATTTTCGCCTCTTCAGGGAAAAAACTAGAGGCCAAATCATTCCTCCTAATTATCCGATTTTAACGATTTTTTTTTTATTAGGAAATTCCATAAACTTTTAAAAAACCATACAATATCAACAAAAAAGCTTTTTGAGTTATTCGGAATTTAATTTTACTATCCCTCGTAACTTTTTTTCCAGTTTCTTTTCGTTGAAGTATGTTATATAGATAAATTTAAAGGGTGTCGAGAAAATGATTTTAGCGAAGTTTCATTGAAATCTATACATTCGTTTAGGCGCTACAGTCTATAGCAACGCAGGTTTTTCTGCATTTTAATTTGTTTTTCTCCTTTATTAACTTATCAAATTCTTTCAAAAGTTATATGAAGCATTTTTTTATAACTTTGAATAATGCGAAATGATTAACTTTTTAAAATAAACCATATTAAAGGTACTTTAGAGGAAGACAAATATGAATATTGGGCATTTAAGCCCTGTAAAGTTAAATCAAATCAAATTAAAGGCCACTTAATTATACAATGATACACCGAGTTTAATCATAATAGGCACAAAGTAGGGACACATGGCGGATGCTGTTGGTGGAGGCCATGACTCGCTAAGCGGCTTGTAGAGCCAGTATAGATAGATAGAAACATTTCAGATTTAGGAATGAAGTCTGTAATGGATTAATTCTTATATAATGCGTGAATACATTTCGAAAGAATTGTGAAAACATTCAACCTGGAGCTTTAACATCGTGTAGGTTAGTTATGACATCTTCAATTTCTAATTCAGCTAATGGGTCATATATTGCAGTTTCTGAGATCGAATTAGCTATTGATTTTAAACTTTAATAGTATTCGGTCTCATTTTCTCGTTCGCCAGTTGGTAGGAATTTATCAATCAAATAGTTAAGCGTATCTTGCACTAGCGGATCCAGGTTTTAGGATTTTGGGGGAGGGGAGCTTCAGCCCGGAAGTTTTTGTTTCATATATATAACGATAATTACTTTGAAAAACAAAAAGATACTAACTACCTATATGAAATGGTTTTTATGTGATTATTGAAGTTCTATTATATGTAATTAAACGAGCAATAATACTTTAAGATATAATTTTTTACCATAAAACATGGTTACATTTTACCATTTGGGGGGGAGGGGGGCTTCAGCCCGAAAGCTTTCCCCGTAAATCCGCCTGTGGTATCTTGTAAGTCAGTTGTATAGGAACAATCTCATTTCGCTATAGTTCGTAATTTTACAGAGAATCGTAATCACCTTATACCAAATTTATTTTATTTATTTGGTGTTTTGTTGCCTCTAATCTGTAGGGTCATTGGCAAAACCTTTGAATTAAACTCTGTTGTAGAGTTTTATCACATTTAAAAACCTTAAAGTTTTTTTAACTGCACTTTCACTGTCTTGTAGGTTTTCTTTTAGACTCTGTGCCATGTCTAACTTTTTCCTTGTTGGTTCAAATGTAGGGCAGTCTTGTATAACATGCTTTACATTGCAGCTCTCGTAGGTCGGAGGATCAAGTCCTCTTAGTAGGTAGGAGTGCGAGAACTCTCAATGTCCAATTCGCAGTCTGCAAAGGGCTGTCTCCTCTTTTCGAGATAATCGGTGAGAGGTTTCCCTGGGGGGGTTTAATTTTTTTTAATTTCGATTCTCCTTGTTCCCACTAGTTTTGCCACATGTTCCACACATTCTCCTTAATTTTTTTAACGTAATCCTCTAGAGGGATTTCATTAGTTGATTTCACGGATATTGTATCTGGCTTTCTTGCCATGTTGGCTGCTTGATCGGCTTGTTCATTACCGATGATCCCGCAATGGGAAGGGACCCAAATGAACCCTACTTCTTTGCTCTTCTCTCTTAGTAGCCACCAAACGTTTCTTACACGTTTTGCAAGAGTGGTTTTGGGCCTTGTATGTTCAATAGCTAGTAATGAACTCATAAGAGTCTGTCACCACGGCCCAATTGGTAGTTTCACTTGTCTCTATGTATTTAAGAGCTTCTCTAATTGCCAAATTTGTAAGGAATAACCACGGGTTTTTTTTTTGGTTTTTTTTATTTTTCTACATAATTCTTTCCAAGAATTTAATTTCTGTTCTTTTATCATTTTCTTATACAAAACCCTATTTATGCATTACGCCAGATGTTTCTCAATATGTAATCTTTCGTTGTGGTTAGATAATACTTTTCAGTTCTTCGTTTGTTTTTTTTTTTCTTAGTAGGGTCAACTCTCGAGTCCATCATTGAACACTTCTTCCTGGTTCTTTTTGTACGTTATTGCAGAACCAGATTTTACATGTCTTACTTAGACACAGCAGATGAGAATGTCGCTGAATTTTGTTTTTGTTCATAATAAATACTTCACAACTAGTAATCAGGCCTTCTAATATTTTTCCTCGTTTATTAGTTGTATTATCAAACCACAATTTGGATCTCGAAGTCGAATCGACAGCAACAAGATTTTTTTTAAACAGGACTTTAACGTTGTTTGTAAACTACAAACCAAAATAAATTGGTGATGAAGTTAACAGAAAAAATCAAAGTCAGCCAAAACAGCGAATAACAATTACTTCTAGTACCTTATTGAGGATTAAATGTAAATATATGGATTGAAATGAATCATTAAATAAATAAAAGAAATGAAAGCTATTAGCACCAATTTAGATATCGTTAGTCAACAGAGATGACTTATGATATATTAAGTAAATTCTATCGATGCTTTTAATCATATTAACTTTTTAAATGTATTATTTTAAATTGATTTATTGTAGAATTATGCAAACTGCTACTGAGGTGCGATAAATAATAATCCAAGTTCCGGGATTAACAATTATAGTTCGCGTTATCACTGATAACCCTTAACTCACAAGTTTATATTAATGGCTTAGTGTAAATAAAAGCGCCTCTTTATGCTTCGGTCCTGAAAAATGGTACATATTACCTAATTAATATTACCTAATTAATATTACCTAATAAAATTAATAATTAATCCAAGTTTTCGAACAGCGGATTATTTTGGAATTATTAGAGGAAAATCAGAATGTGTTTAGTTTTCGTCAATGCTGTACCCTATGAACCAATTTTTATGATGTTAAATAATTTTACAGCAAAATGAAACCTAATTTTTTTCTTTTTACTCAATACTTTCCAAGGTTTAACTTGTGAAAGTAATAAAATTAATTTTTTTTGTTATTGAAATTCACACCTGTATTAAATGATTGTAGTATATATCCTCCAGTAATTACTCCTTTATGTGACATTGTGTGAGGAAATGAGAAGGAATATATAAGAATATAAGGTTGCACTATGAATTGTACTCAATTGTGCAGTGGACAAATTGTTCATTGAAAAGTCTCATAACGATAAACAATCGACGAAAAAGGAAAAAGCTTGAAAAAGGACCGGCAGGTAGGAAGGGCTGGAGATGGAAGCCGGAGAAAAAAAAAAGGTACTTGAGGCATGGGCATGAAGGAAGAACGGCGTTAACTGAGATGAGAAAGCTACTACACTGAAGATTATAAGAAGTTATAACACTTTAATAGATTCATTTATTACAGTTATCAAAATAAATTGTTTTGTTATACAGGAGTGATACGTCCTTTTATTTAGTTGTCCTGTATGCCTCACAATCGAAGAATAACAAACCAGGCGAGTCAATTCATTCAAAGTGTGTATACTACGTCCCACATTTCAGATATGTATATATATATATATATATACTCTTATTATTTCTTGTCACTCAGTGTCACAAAAGCATTAGTTTCCCGAATCTCCAATGGCAGTTAAACACCCTCAAAAAGTCTATATTCAGTGCCGGGGTTTCGTTCTAAGAAAATTAAATTCAAGAGTTTAAATAACCTAGACCCCCC